CTGAACGTTGAAAAGCAAATTCAAGAGTTATTTACAGGTATTTATCAGATGGCTATGGTCTGCATGATACTTTATTTTTGTCAAAATGAGAATTGCACTTTCATCACATGATTTACCTGTTTCTTGTTAAGAATTAATTATCATTAAATTAAAGTATTTGAATTTAACTTTGATGGTAATAAACAGTTTTTTGCTACTGCATCTATAGTTTATGGTTATAATTAACCAACTGGCAATGATGCTTAAACCAAGTTTTACAGATGAACTATTTTGTGAAGCTGTCATGACAAAGATTATTCAGAGCCTGGCGTATGGACTGATGTTTGCGATGGACTTGAGTATAGAAGATTAATTGCAGAAAGGAAATATACCAGTGACAACACTCTGTATTTAACTTTCACAATGAATACCGGTATAATTTCATCATCTTGGTTAGAGTTTGTGTCCTGTACACATTCATGGTTTTCATAAGTATTCAAAGCTACTACAGGAGTATTAAAATTTTTCAAGCTGCTCAGCTGTTCCTACTCCGAATGATCATAGAGATAAATGTATATTATTGATAGTTTAGTAAAAGCTTGCTAGTCGTGGAATTCCACCTTTTACAATTATAGTTATGTTGGCCTTGGTTAATCTCCTTTGGGAACCAACATTGATTTACAAAAAAGTCATTTTTCCTTCTGCAAAAATATTTTGCTTTTAATAAAAAAAACAAAAAAACAAGCAGTTCTTACCGCTTAATTTCCCAATTACTCTACACTGTATTTATTGTCTAATTTGATTAAAAATAGATCAGAAGATATTATCATCACTTTGCATATGTTTTTAATTGCAGATGGTGTTGCAGTATTTTCTTCCTCCAAGAAAGGAAACCTGTGGCCTGTGTATCTTGCGGTCATTGAGTTGCCGCTACAACTGAGGTAAATATGATAATGATTTTTGATCATTATAGTGGCCCATTCTTTAAAATCCAAGAAAGTTAAATTTGATTCTTACCTTGACTTGAGGTTTACATTTTCATATAAATTATGTTCTATATATGTATCTCCCATATAGTCTACATAAAAGTACATAGACGTAACTCAGTTTCTATAGTTTTGAGATAAAGGCAGGTGAAGATTTTAAAAGTCTGTAACTCAAATAATCAACAAAAACAACGGGACACTGTGCTTATGGCTAGTACCCGATAAAAATATAAAGTAAGTTAGATCATAAAACGACTGGACTTTCTTCTAAAACATTCTAAAACATGTTAATTTTGTTGAGTTACGACTTTGTTCCACTGAACATTGTTTCAACTGTAAACACTTACAGGGACGTATCTTGAGTTACGATTTTGTACTTTCAGTATAAGATACTAGGTTTTTGCCATTGATTTTGCAGAAATGATTATTAATATTTTCATAATTATCCTGAAACAACTCAGCAAATTAAAAACAAACAAAAATGCTATAATTTGATTTTCACGAGATTTATTTTCCCTTCAATATTCATACCTGTTCGAATTCTTCTGGTCTTATATCTTATGAACTCATTTTCGTTCCTGGGTGAAAAGTTCATTAAGCGTTCATAATAGATAATGATAATGATAATAGTGTACCAAAATACAATTTTAAAAATTTAGATAAATCATTAAATTGCCTGAAATATCTTCTTGGGTTTCATTCCGCCATAAGAGTAAATATAGTTACTTCGTGATATTGCAAAAATGGTTTCTGTTGGCGTATCTTTTTTTAGCTCGCCTGACCGAAGGGCAAGTGAGCTTATGTCATGCCGCGGCGTCCGTCCGTCAACTTTTTTCTATAAATCGCTACTAGTCATGAACCAAATTTGGTCAGAAGCATTCTTGGGGGAAGGGGATAAAATTTTGTATAAACCGTGGGTCTGGGCCCCCTGGGTCCAGAAGGGCGTTGCCCATTCGGTGAAATTAGTGAATTCTCTAAAATTCCTCTTCTTCCGAAGGAATTATAGGATAAGGTCTAAATTTTGTCTGCACCATGCTCTGCTGAAGGGGAATACATGTTATAGAAACCGTGGGCCTGGGACCCCTGTGCCAAGAGGGGCGGGGCCCAGTTGGGGAAATTGAGTAAATCCATTAAAATTACCACTTCTTCGGAAGAAGTTACAGGATGTTGTCCAAAATTGGTCTTGAGCATCCTCCAGAAAAGTGAAATAAATTTTGTATACTGTGGGTCTGGCCAGGCCCCCTGGGGCTGAGTGGCGTGGCCCATTATGTGAAATTTAGTAAATTCTTTAAAATTTTTTCTTGTCCTGAAGGAGTACTAGGATAGGTGAGCGCTACAGGAAGAAGCCGGTGTTTATCTTTTATTGACAATATAACACATTTTGCGGGGTAAACATTTATTGAACTGTAAAGAAAACTATAAACTCATTTCAAGCATTGGGTAGTTCTACATACATGTACATGTATACAATTTATATATATTTAGCTCTCATCCTTAGTATCCTTAATGTTACATTCCAGCCACTTGTTTGAAAAAAAATACCAGATTTGATCAATATTATCAAAATATGACGCTGCTTGGATACTTATTAATTATTACATAATTGATTTTTCGTAGGCATGTGAAAGGATAAATTCATATCAGAGAAAATCTGTCGGTAAATATGTTCTTTCCCATGAAATGTGTTGTTCTTTTTGCATTCATCAACATAAAGGTTATACATTTTTTTAACATTGAGCTCGGGAGAAAGGTATTGTTCGGATGACGTTTTCCGACAATAGTGACTAGGAATCTTTGGGAATCTGTCAATATGGGATTTGATGTTAGCATTTATGTTTGAATCTATGTGTTTGTGACTCGTATGCTTACCTCTACCATCAGACTTTGGAAAACCGAAAGCATCGTGCTGGTGCAGAACAGTGTGGACAACTTTCTCCGATACTGACAGGGTGTTTAAGAACATAGTTTTGCAAACTTGAATATTTTCCTGACCATTATCAAAAAAATAGTGGATAGTGCTATTTCTTCTACATGATTTTGTTGTTTTCTGCTTGCATGCTATTTTGCTAACATTTTTCTAAAAAATATCAAACAATATTTGACGCTGTTCATCATTGACTTTAGTTGAACATTTATACCGACAACCCTGCTCTCCTTTTTATGAGTTTTCCTCGTTTGCTTCTGTATTCCTCACCCAAATTTCTGCGACGTCTTCGAACAGTTTCCTTCCATTCTGTAACGTTCTTCTTTCTTTTTCTAGCTCTCAGTCCTAGTTCATCTGATTGTTCATTTTCAATACATGTAGTTGGAGTAATCTCCTCAGTGTCACTGTCGGTAAGTGTGGAACAGACGTTATCCATTGCAAGGTCAGGAAAAATATTTTCTGCATCTACTTCAATGGGATTTGTTTCCATACTTAAATCATTTGTTGGATTGATGTACAGATCACCATCAGTTGATAAGAATACAACATAAAATAACATTTCCTTGCTAAAACTAACGCAGGAAGTATGTAGTAAAAACTATACACACATTCTAATAATGGGAGATTTTAATCTACCAAATATAAATTGGGAAAACTGCACTACAAAATCAGAGTCTACCAACAATATGGGATACCAGTTCATTGATTGCTTAATGAATAACTTTCTATTCCAAACTACAAACGGCAAACAGAATCAATATAACTTCCCACTAGATAAGACAACGAGGAACCTAATTAAACACAAGACTAGAAAAGCAATGAAAAACAAGGATAAAAAGAGCCAGCAAGAATATAGAAAGGCAAGGAACAAGGTGAGGAAAAAACCCCAGACAGATTAGGAATGAGTATGAAAAACATCTGGCACAACAAGCGAAAAACAACCCAAAGGCAATCTGGAATTACATGGGAACTCTACAAAGACCCTAAAGATGTAAAATCACAAAAAGCTGATACAGATGAGAAAGAGGCAAATATACTTTCAGAATTCTTCCATGGTGTGTTTGTGAAGGAGAAAACTAGAACCATACCATCTATCCCAAAAAAAAGGCATTGTTAAAGAAATGGGAGAACTGAATATAGCAATAGAACAGATTAAAAAGAAACTTGAAAAACTCCGGATAGACAAATCACCAGGCATGGACGGAATCCATCCTAAATTTTTAAGAGAGCCAGCAAGAACAATCTGTGTACCATTACAAATAATCTTCAATGCTTCCTTAAGATCTCAAAAGTTACCAAATGAATGGAAACAAGCGCAGATTAGTGTTATATTTAAGAAAGGCGACAGATGTGTAAGCAACTATAGGCCAGTTAGTTTGACATCAGTAGTGTGTAAAAGTGATGGAATCCATTGTGAGAGACCATATTATAGAATTAATGTTACAAAACAACAATCTCTTTACTATGGAAGAGCATTAGGGCCACGTATGACAAAAAATATTTCTGTTTTTTCGTGTTACTAACTCGAAATTTTGACTTACTAACTCGAAATTTCGATTTAATAAAATTTCGACTTAATAACTCGAAATTTCGACTTACTCATGTGCTCAGTTTCACTTGACATAAGCACTATCACTATGGATCAACACAGAGACACATTGGTTAGAGCATATTTTCATTTAGGACTAAGTAACAAGGAGATATTGCTTTGCTCAGCTTCACAGCATGGGATTATGATTAGCACAAGAACTCTTAAAAGGATCACGAAGAAGTGTCACCAGTACAGAAGGAATGGTGATAAGTGCCTCATGGAAGCTGCAATGTTCATTGTGAAAGAGTGTGAAGGTTCTGGTCGTCTTCATGGATACCGGTGGATGCATTTAAAATGTGTTCAGAATGGAATATATATTTCCCAAAAAACAGTGCGTTTATTACAGGGAATATTATATCCGGAAGGTTTAAAACAAAGAATAAAACGGCGTTTGGTAAGGCAACAGTATCGTTGTTCTGGACCCAACGCACTATGGCATATCGATGGATATGACAAACTTAAACCATATGGAATATGTGTTCACGGTTGTATAGACGGATTTTCCAGGCAAGTGATATGGATGGAAGCATGGAACACTAACAACGACCCAAAGGTCATTGGTGGTTATTTTGTCAATTCAGTTAAAAATAAACTTGGGTGCCCTGAGAGAATAAGAGCAGATGCTGGAACTGAAAATTGTTACGTAAAACAAATGCAGAGTTTCTTACGCGATGAACATGCCGATCGTTTTGCTGGAGTATGCAGTTTTATGTATGGACGAAGTACCGCAAACCAAAAGATAGAAAGCTTTTGGAGTATATTACGGAGAGAAGTAACAAGTTTTTGGATGGATTTATTCAAACAGCTTCAGATCGATAACTACTTTGTCGGGGATTTACTAGACAAGAACCTTATCCAATTCTGTTTTATGGATCTAGTACAGGTGAGTTAGATTACTAGACCAATGAGAACAAGACCCGTATGGCTTATCAAGGTTTGGGTCACAATGTATGTTCTCATCATGGTCTTGTGCGAAGAAAACGTTCGTTTTCGTTTAATGCAATCACAGGGGCATGACACGTTCCTATGACTCAGAATAACAGTATCATCGAAGCCCGACCCCCTAGATCACTTATTATAATAAGTGATCTAAGGGGTCGGGCAGTATAATCGAAGCCCGACCCCCTAGATCACTTATCATAATAAGTGATCTAGGGGGTCGGGCTTCGATTATACTGCTAGTCTGAGTCATAGGAACGTGCCATGCCCATGTGAATGCAATAGTACTACTGAAAGTCGTGGCATACAGAACAAAAATGGTAAAGTATATTGCAGGTGGAGTTTTGGAGTTAAATGACATTAAATATATGACAAGGTCAAACGGAATAGTCATAAATTCCAACTTCTTACAAATCAATTATCATCCGCTTGAAGAAGGATTTTAAAAAAATGTTTCCACCAAAATCCATTTGAAATTTGATGCCTGCGAAATACATTTGCCAAGAGTATATACTGGAATTTCGAATGATTAATAAAAGTATTCTATGCTGAGCATGAGCTATTGTAATTTTGGTAGAAAAAAAATTGACGTTATAGCCGCCATTTTAGCATTTAATAATATGGTAATGTGCAAAACATGTATATGTACATGTACTAATACATGTATATCATTTTATCATTGAAAGTAGCAAAGGATTAATATTTTTTTAAGGTAAGCCTATATATAAATGTTATAGAAAAAACTGAAGACAGCCTATTCTTCAGTCTTGTCACGAAAGACAGGCGAATTTTTTTTTCAAATGTATCAAAACAGTGATGACTTACATGTATAATAGGACAGCAAGGAGTTTCATTTTGCTGTTGTCGTTTCTGTTTATATATAGAGGATCTTACATGAGTGTCAATGTATTATGGAATTTATTAAACAAGTTCAATAATTTGATATGTCACGAGCCGATAGGCGAGTGGCATATCAATTTATTGAACGAGTTTAATAAATTCCATAATACATTGACATGAGTGTAAGATTCTATTTATCATATGACTCCTAAAAAGTCCAAAATTACATTGGATAAGATAAAAATTGTTGACTCTGACGTTCTTCCCGCCATTTCTTGACGGCAAACCATTTTTGGCGTGACGTCATACCATTGTTGACTTGACGTCATTTGCTTATTCTTCGATTGTGACGTCACAATTGAAAAGTGTTATTACACATGTGTAATATCGAATTGATGACATGGCTTTATTACACTACAAAACACTGCAGTCATATGATAAATAGTTTTATGTGAGAAAATTAAGTATTAAATGGTGGGTTAGGACAGCAAGGAGTTTCATTTTGCTGTTGTCGTTTCTGTTTATATATAGTTTTATGTGAGAAAATTAAGTATTAAATGGTGGGAAGTTAATGTTATTGAAAATAGATATCTATTACATTGTAGGCCGATATCGATTCCACTGTTTCTGTTTGGAATAGTCACCGAATTCGACCGTCGAAGATGGCATCTCTACCATGTGGACGACCAGCTTTGATGTATTCCATTCCAGAGCTATATGGAGTTAGTGACTGTTTAAAAGCAGTAACACCGGAAAGGATAGAACTTTGCGAGACAGAATGCCTAATGAAAGATAATATTCCTTGTGATAAAGATATATTTGACCTTTGTCAACTACTCGTGAATGAAAATATGTGGGATTTTCCTGCAGATCCCCATGAAATGTGTGATCTATACATACAATTACGGAATGAAATTATGAACATAATTTAAACAAGACATATTTAAGTGATGCCAATGAATCATTTTGTTATTCTCTGCAACTATTATTGTCTCTATTCGTCACTGCGATGATGTGATGCCCATAAATACTGCTTTTACATTCTTCAAAACTCCAACCAACATGTGCATGGGCATTTGACACCTTTCCAAGTTCATTTACTGTACATATTGTATAAAGTGCATCACCGCATTAAAAAATTCCCTATCTAGTGTGGAGTTCCTTAGTCTAGAGAATATTTTCTATCATTTAACGTTGCTTTGTAATTTTGTCGTTTTTTTTTTTTTTTTATTTGTTTCGAAAACAGGGGGGGGGCTTTAAATGAAATTATAATATCACTGAATATAATTAAAATGCAATAACGATTTAAGTTTGATATTGATGTTTTGTGTAATTATACAGCCCAGCCAGGATACTAGTATTGCTCTCACAGATCCTGTTATGAAATAATGATTATTGTGTATTTATGTTGGACATGCACTTGATTTGGTTTATCTTTTGCAAATGTTGTCGATAATGAAAGTATCATAACTCAGTATTTCATTTAATCGGGTAATAAAACAAAACTCCGTGAAATAAGATTTTATTCACGTCACAATTGCAAATACTAATATCGTTTGTTTCATAGGATACATGTATCAGAAACTGCATTGGAAGCCGTCACGCGTATGACAAGGCCATCGATATTACAATAATTGGTAGTCTGTAAACCAATTTATTTTTCTGATCAGTGTCTAAATAAAAAGGAACATTTAAAAACCAAGTCGAACCTCCATATGAAATCTGAGAATGATCCATTGTTGGGTACTTCACAAAATTAGCAATAACTGTCGAAATCCAAAATGGCTGCCAGTCAGCCATCTTGTTTTGTCGAATCAGTCCAAAAGTGGTACATAATGCACAACTAAATATAAGGACCAAGGGGAACCTGTACACATCTCCGGAACTAACGGTAATGACAATTGTTTAAGGACTGACCACAGGGGTTTGTTACGAATGACTTACGGTGTATGACGAATATCTATACACGTAGAGATACTTACGAAGTGGACGTCATACATGTATACCAACCGATCATTTTGGACTGTGGACTGACGAACCCGGCTGAAGGGCGATTTGAATCTGATAATGGTGGTTAAAACGGTAATCTTTATTGCGCTTGGAAATATGTCCCAGTCATAAATGTTAAAAATCGCATTTTTTGTTTAAAAACAGGATGGCATTACGTTTACACCATTCATTTTCCAGCATGTATGCACTTCAATACAACGTCGAGGTAGTTGATGTGTTTCAAGCTTACAGAACTCCATACAATTGCTAGTAAGAGTTACATCTATTGTTCCTCACTGCACATCAAGATTGGTTTACTTGCTGTACATTTACGATCTGACAATGCTCGCCCGTATATCGGGACATACGGACAAATCGACAACTACATTATCAACCAAATTCTTCCTGCAGCATGAATAACAAGAGGCCCAGAGGGCCTGTATCGCTCACCTGGATCTTTATGACCAAGAGTTGTATCTGTCTATGCAGGAGTTGCCCCATACCCCCTCTAGGGTCAATCCAAAACCCATAAGGATACTTCCGACGAAATAAGATTATCACCTTCCTTTCTTTAGTTCCTGAGCATGAGAAAAAGACGCTTAAAGCAATGTATGGCCAAATGCTCTTTTGAGCTCTGCCCCTTGCCCCCCCCCCCCTCCCCAAGAGGTCAGTTTGTACATTTTTGAATCACACCTCTTGAGGATGCTTGCAGTTAGATATATGATTGATAGCCTTCTTTTAGTCAGAGAAGATACTTAAGGGAATATGGCCAAATTACCCCTTTTGGGCCCTGCCCCTCAGGCTCCTGCAAATTCAGCCCCTTCATTTGTACATTTTTGAATCCTCACCTCCTGAGGATGCTTTCAGCCAAATTTGATCAAATTCCACTCAGTAGTTTATAAGTCGATTAAAGAAATTGTTGAGGGACGGACGGACGGACTGACGCCACGGTATGGCTATAGCTCACCTTTGTCCTTCGGACCAGGTGAGCTAAAAATGGGGTAAACTAATGTTATATTTGATGAAATTTTTTAGTGAACTTTCTGAACAATATAAAGTATGTTATACTTACAAACACTAACTCTGCAAATTAAAGATGGACGCATGGACCATGGGTGACATGATCATGAATCAATAGAAATAAATAATAGAAACAAAACAGTGAAACGATTAAAAGTTTTTAATTCATAGCATCTGCAGTGGTAATATGAACAAATTTCTAAAATTTTGGATGAAAGTTTTGATGGAGATAGACATTACCATGCTTACATGTAATGGGAAATCCCGTTTTGTACAGTTTTAGGTACTAATGCGAGATGTGTCTTCTGAAAACAAGAATTCCACATAAGTAGATGTGTCACCTTCCCCAACATTTCTGAAGGCAGCTGTATAGTTTTATTGCCTTAGCATCATTTTTATAATTTACCCATGTGATTCACATTTTGAGTCAACTTGAAGATGAAATGTAGTGACAGGCTGAAAAACAATATAGCATATTAAGTGAGGAACCTCTGTATGAAGTTTGAACTTTATCACCCAAAGGGAACTTGACTTATCATGAAAAAAACCCTCTAAACTATTTATAGCAACCGTGATCCTGACCTTTCACCAATTGACCTGCAAAACAATCCCAAGCAAGCATGTTTGGTAATGAAGCACTGTATGAAGTTTTTTGTTTTTACTTATTCGCCCAAAGGGAATTAACTCAAAACCCTACCCTATTCATAGCAACCGTGACCTTGACCTTTGACCATTTATATCCCCGCACCAGGCCTTACACATGCATTATATATTATTGCTATTTTTTGTAAGGAATATGCCATCCTGGTTTTACATCCTTACTGTCTCAGCAAGCATATCTAATACAGAGTGATTATTCCAGGATACATGTATTACTTCGGTGTCTCATTTGTGATACATGGTTTTGTTTGTTAAATACGTAACATTTTTTGTATTCACAATAAAAATAATGCATGTTATGTAACGAAAATTCCAAGTATTTTTGTTTATTGCTGCTAAGATTATAATATCGCTAATTTTCCACAACAGCACCACAAACAGGTGCATTATACGCCCGTCACAACATATGAAATTGGCATGGCAAAACCATTGTCATGACAAAACCTATCAAACAATCAGGTTACAGTATCCTAATTAATCTTGCTTGAATTTTAAAAAGTTCAAGCTCAACTTAGTCTTTCTAAAATACACATGCATACCAACTTTCATCAAAATTGGACTACATTTACTCAAGTTATCGTTTGGAAACCAAAGTGTAGACAGACGGACGGACCACAAACCAAACCATGCCAAACTTGACACAGGAACTTAACATTTCACAATTAAAAATTAGGTTACCATGAGCTATATCTCCAGTGATGGGTTGATTTTTTTTTCATAAAAAGATTTTCCAAAACAAGCATTCTTGTATTGCTGAAGCAATACCAGCCCCCACAAATTCCTTAGATGCAATTTTTCAAAAATAGTAAAAGTGACTTTGACCTTGACCCCATGATTTTGAAACTCAAGCTTGCCCAAAATATTTTAGTTCTGTACAAGTATGCTAAGTTTGATGGAAATCCATTCAAGAACAATAAATAAAATACCAACATTTCAACTGAATCATAATCTAAACTCAAAGTCAATTAAATCAGGACAAAACCAGAACAAAAGAAAGATTTACAGAGATTCCTGAAAAAGTACAAGGAGAACAAGCAATTCAATAGAAGCAGATTATAATAGTACAATGTAGCTAATATTACACAGATATCACTACAATACAGAGGCATTTTTAAATGATGCCTGTAAGACACCATACTCAAATTCACCTTACTAGCACCATATATATATAGAAAGCATACAAAGCCAGCACAACATATACAGTGCTATTATGAAGCCATATACCAAAAAACACCAGGTCGGTTGAAGAATGGCAAAAAAAAGTCAGGAAATCAATCTATGGGAGAAATTGTCTAAGTTCAAATTGCCATAACTGTTTTAAAAATGGTGATACGCAGTCGGGATTCGAACTTTATCTGTAACCCTCAACTTTGAAACCATACACTGAATACCAGGTCGGTATAGATCTCTAAACACGGCCCAAAAATGTCCGGAAATCAATCTATACCAGAAATTTTCTATACCAAAAGTCCAAAGGGCCATAACTACGTTAAAAATGGTGATACGCAGCCGAGATTCAAACTTGATATGTAACCCTTGACATAGAAGACATAAACCGAAAACAGGTCGGTATGTTGAAGCATGGCGTAAAAAAGTCCGAAAAACTACATGTATAAGTTTGACTGACAGACAGACAGACGGACGGAGTGCAAACCTATAGTCCCCCTAGTTTCACCGTTAGGTGGCAAATATTTTTAAACTTGGCATGGATTCTACATTTACATCTCCTATTGATTTATTCATGTAAACTTTTCATCATAAAGTTTATATGGAGCACAACATACTGTGTTGGAATAAATAAAGAACAGTAAAAAAAAAAATGAAAATTTACGACATCATAATACTAACTAATCCAGTCGTTGATGACTGAACAATCTTAACTTTCAGATGTAACCTACATCTAAACTTAACAGAAATCAGTGTGAAACACCTGCTGGATTTTAATATTTCACCATTAAAGCTGACATTAACTAAAGAGCTTTTTCTGGTGGGGAATGAATCAAGAAGCCCATGGGCCTTAACGGTCACCTGACTAAATTAACTTTTTATACATGGCAAAAAAACTGAAAAGGTCAAAACTCTGTAAATTACAGTCGATTGTCAAACACGTCCAAGATCTTATCAATATTAATATGCAAACCAAGTTTCATCAAAATCCACCCAAATTTACTGAAGTTATTGTGTTCGCAAGGAAAAGCTTATGGACGACACACGACGACAGACAAAAGACTATCACAATAGGTCACCATGACCTATGGTCATG